AAGAAAAGTACCCCAAGCACCTGCTCTGCGTCCCCTGCTACTCTCTCCTGTTCCACATGCGGTTTGAGCAACGGGGTCGCTTAATGGTTTTCAAACATCGGAGTCTAAGGCAGCCGTGGGCAAACTTTTTGACTCGAGGGCCACAATGGGTTCTTAAACTGGACCGGAGGGCCGGAACAAAAGCATGGATGGAGTGTTTGTGTGAACTAATATAAATTCAAAGTAAACATCATTACATAAAAGGGTACGGTCTTTTTTTTTTTTTTTTTTTAGTTTTATTCATTTCAAGCGGGCCGTAGTTTGCCCACGGCTGGTCTAAGGCCTAGTTTCCCAAGAACTTGGGGTAGTAATGGTTTCTGTGAAGTCCATGCAATGGATAAGCCCTGTATCTAGAGAGCTACGGGATACCATACAACACTGGTTTCAGATTTATTATGTTTAACTTTCTATATTACCTCACACATTTGTCCACGAAACTATGAACAGCTAAGAAAAGCAGCAGGAGTCATCCGGGGCTAGGACAGAGCTTTCTCCCACAATTCACTCCCCTAAATCTATTAAACTGGATTAGGGATCTCCTGGAAACAGTTTATTAATATTCTTAACTTTTAAAATACTACAAATAAAACAGCTATGACTCATGACAGCCCCCGGGCCCCTAGCTCACATACCTAGAATTTAGTTAATGAGGCTACAAACGGGATCTGCTGGGGCTGCGACGCTGCCTCCAGAAAAGCCCCAAGTTTGGGTAGACACAGGGGACAATGTGAGCCCACTAGCTTGATGGCGGGAAAGCAACCCTCACCACCCGGCCCCTCCTCTCCGTGAGCTCTCCCGTGGCCCCAGAGACGCAGCCTGGCACTGCACACATCCACACCCCCCACTACTCCACCACCAGTGTCGGTCACTGGCACTCTCAAACATTGCTGGGAGAAATACAAAAAGTAACCACCACTTATAAAGTTAAACATATACTTATTATATGACCCAGCAATCTTCCTCATAGGTATTTACCTAAGAGAAATAAAAACAAATGTCTACACAAAGAATTGTACATGAGGGGTGGGGGTGGTCTAGAAGAGATGGCGGGGGGGAAACATATGTAATACTTTCAACAATAAAAGATTAAAAAAAAAAAAGAATTGTACATGAGAATGTTCATAGAGGCATTCTTCATAATAGCCAAAAGGTAGAAACAACCAATGCCCATCAAAAAGGTGAATGAATGAACACATTGTGGTATGCCATATATCTGTATAATGGAATATTCATGAAAAGGAATGTATTGATACGTGCAAAAAGAAGATTAATCACAAGAACATTATGTTAAGTAGAAAAAGTCAGTCACATAAGATATACTGCGAAATTCCATTTATCTGAAATTCTAGAAAAAGCAAAACCATAGCAGCAGATAAGCAGTTGCCAGGCAACAGAGGTAGGGGAATAGGACTGGCTGCAAAGGGGCCCAAGCGAACTCTCAGATGTAGTGAACATAGTCCATGCAGTCACTGGGACAGTGACTATATAAGTTTGTCAAAACTCATCAAGTTATAGACTTGAAATTGATATTATTGTAGAGAAATTATACTTCAATAAAGGGAATTTTACTTATACATTTTTTAATCTACAAAATTTTCATAATTACGTATTATAATAATCAGAAAATATACTTTAAAAGGTCATAATGGCAGTGTAACAATTTCTATACACAAGTGCACTGGCGGCATTTGCCTTCCCATCCATTCTAACGGAGCTCCTTGGCCTCACATTGAGAATCTTGCATCATTTGCACCAAGGTCAGTCTGAGTCACCACCCTGGTCAAAGAAGGGCTTCTTCTCTCCTGGGAAGGTACCCCTGATGCCAGAGACTTTCAGGGACAGCCATGCATTTCCGCATAAATCCAAGATTCCCAGTCAGGGCACATACCTTGGCTGCAGGCTCCTCCCCAGCCCAGGGTCCCTGGTTGGGGCAAGGGCAAGAAGCAACCGATCGTGTTTCTCTCATGTCAATATTTCTCTGTCTTTCCCTCTCCCTTCCACTCTCTAAAAATCAGTGGAAAAATATCCTCAGGCGAGGATTAAAAAATAAATAATAAAAACAAAAACATGCTTTAAAACGTCATCACATGAGTGTGATCATCTGCAAAAATATCTTCAACTGAAGGTGATTATCTCACGAGGTGAAGCAACTTGAATTAAAGGGGATAGTCCTCCCCAGTGCATCCCCTTTAGGAGCCCAACAATGGAAAATTTTCAGCTCAGCGAGCGGCCTCGGGGGCGCAGGCTCCACCCAGTTGCCTGGATACGGTGACAGCTCTGGTGCTCACAGAAGCTCTGGCACCTCCTGCAAGGGCACCAGCAAGCTCATCAGTCAGCGCTGTCCCCTCCTCACACATCCACTCTCAGGCAGGGGCAGGGCTGCTATCCAGTCCACCTGTCACTTTCCAAGCCTTGAATCACAAAAGTCTATTACATCTGCTCAGCTCATTTTACAATTATATCAACTCTAGTCCTAGGTCTCATTCATTTGATTTCTAACAATAACTGTGAATTCTACTCTCAAATCACAAAGCAAGTAAACCAATTGGAGTAACAGTTAACAGTTCAAATGATTTTTCCTCCAAAGGAAAAGTTACTAAGCAATCAACTGGCCGATTATGTCAAATATGATAGAACATTAATTTTGCCCACTTTTTGAAAAATATATTTTTATTGATTTCAGAGAGGAAGGGGGAGGGAGAGAGATGGAAACATCAATGATGAGAGAGAATCATGGACCGGCTGCCTCCTGCACGCCCCCAACTGGGGATTGAGCCCCCAACCCGGGCCTGTACCCTTGACGGGAATGGAACCCGGGGCCCTTCAGTCCGCAGGCCGACCGCTATCCACTGAGCCACACCAGCCAGGGCTAATTTTGCCCTCTTTTTAATGCTGACAGTGGCTAAAGTTAAAACAGTAACATTACCCCAAAACTTCTCTTCCAATACTTAACACCAGGTTACAGGATGCAATTATATAAACCCCACAGCAGCAACCGGTGGAAATCAGCATCTTAGTTCACTTAAAATGTTACCCTGCTAAAACATGCAAGCAAGACAAATATTTTAAATACTAGAATTCATCAAGATTACTGTAATCATGGTGCTTTGTAGAAACTATCATAAAACTGGTTCCCTGCAACATTTTTGTTACCGCTTTTCAAAGGTTTCAGTACGTTTTCTTAGGACTACTTTTATTCTTTTTTTTACTATATTTTATTGATTTTTTACAGAGAGGAAGGGAGAGGGATAGAGAGTTAGAAACATCGATGAGAGAAACATCGACCAGCTGCCTCCCGCACACTCCCCACTGGGGATGTGCCCGCAACCAAGGTACATGCCCTTGACCGGAATCGAACCTGGGACCCTTGAGTCCGCAGGCCGACGCTCTATCCACTGAGCCAAACCAGTTAGGGCAACTTTTATTCTTGACCTGTGTGCATTTTGCTACCAAAATGTTGTTGCATTTGTTTGTTTTCGAAATCCTCACTGGAGGCTATGTCTTTATTGATTTTAGAGGAAGAGAGGAAGCGGGGGGACAAACACCCCCGTGGGAGAAACACGCCCCGGATGGCACCCACCACCTTCGGGCGTCAGGGAGGACCCCCCACCTGGGCCACCTGGGCCCGGCCAGGGCGCCCCTGCTCCTCTGTCCC